TAATAATAATAAAGATACCAATGACTTATTTGGTTCGAGTAGAAAGAGTTCGATTTTTCTTAAATAAAATTTCAAGTTCGAGTATTGTAAATGAAAAAACAAATGCTAGAAGAGTTTCATTCAAATAGGATCCGACATACTTCAATTCCGAATTAATCGGACCCAATATAATTATTAGATACCAAGAGATTAGTATAAAAAAATAATAAAAAAATAAGATTCCTAGCCGTCTTTTTGCTTTATCTTCTTTTTGTGGTATTCTTTTCTTTTCCTTTTTGTTTTCTTTGGATGAACTTTATTTTTTCCTTTTGTTGATTAGATAAAAAGAACGTATATATTAATGAGACTTCAATATATTTTTTTGGTGCAAATGGGAATTATTATTAAAAATTAAAAATGACAAATCATGGTCTAATACACAAAACAATCATTCTGATTATGAACAAACAAGTTATACAAAAATAAAAAATAGAATAAAAAATAACAAAATACTTTTCCATGGATACTCCATACTTAACTAGTGTATTAATCACACCATTAACTTCACGATAAATGTGTCTAAGCAGCACCTTGTCAAACTTGAGGATCAATGATTTGTAGCATTCAATTAAAGGCTTATAAGAAGCATTAGGAGCAAAAACACTATTAATAGTGTTAATAACGAGCAGTGAGTTAGCTTCAATTTTGAGCTTCCTATAGCCCAAGCTAAGAGCAAATTCCTGGTCAATTTTAACCCCCCAGAACTCTGCATTATTGTTTGAGCCAAAACCAAGATTTTTTGCAAAGCCGAAATCCAATCGCCATTACAGTTGCGGATGACCCTCCTGCACCAGTTTTACTTGTGTGATGAAAGTAAGAACCATCGGAATTAAGTTTGGCCCATCCATAATTAGGAGGATTCCACTTCACAAGAAGAAAATTGTAGGAGGTAGTTCAACAAGAATGGCTGCAAGCAGCCCAAAGTTCCACAGCGACGTTGAAGATATTTTGCAAATTTGAAACTTGTCGAAAGCAAGCGGGTTCAATAGTTAATTTAACCCTTATACCTTTTTCTTTGAACGTGAAAGGATTACAGGTCTAACTTGTGATAATGAAGGTTTAGTAAACAATGTTAATTTATAGTTGCAGGTATATAAAACATATTTTTTATATTTAATATTTAATTAAATTAATATTTTATATATTTTTAAAATAATAAAAAATATAAAAAATAAAAAATAAGACACTGAGAAGTGTTGTCAAATAAACCTGAAGTGGACATGGTGGCATGGGGAGGAAAATTAAAAAAAAAAAGAAAGGGGTTTTCTATGATTGTTGGTGTAGGTTTCATGTGACGGTATTGTGAAAATGGTGTTATTTAATTCTTCTTATTGTTCTTCATTTTTTTTTTTACATGGCGGAAATTGGGGGAATTGCCGATTTGGGAAATTTTTTAAGTAAGTGGTGGGAGTTGAACTCACAATCACTTAGATCCAAACAAATTCATTGGGCTGGTTTGTTATTTAATTCTTCTTAAACAATACTCCATTTGTTTTAAAAATAATTTTTTTAAATAAGAATTTGATTTAAATTAATATTTTTATTTTGGACAGATAACTATTTTATTTTTTATACCCTTAATTTTAATTTTATTTATTTATTTTAATTATTTATTTTACATATTACAAAAATTTTTAATATATCTTTCATATTTTTAAGGATAATTTAAATTAAAATATAAATTGTTGATTCTCAAAATTTTTAGAGCGTGTTTGATTAGAGATTAATTTTATTAAGAAAATTTTTATTAAAAAGTAGTTGATAGAGTATTGTACAAAAAGTTAAAAAATATTGTATAAAAAATAAATGAATTTTGTATTAAAATTTTATTAAGAGTGTAAACTTTTATTTATTTAGTAAGTTGATATTAAAAAAATTGGTGGAATTAGAAAAATGTTGAGTGTACTTCCCATCAAGACAGAAAGTCGGAGGGAACGTTTTTTTTTTTCTTTTAAAATATAAGAAAAAAATTATTTATCAAGAATTGTATCATGAAAATAAGATTAAAAATGTTAATTTAATTTTTTGTTGTTGTAGTATTAAAAATTGAGTTTTTCTAATTATGTTTTAAGAGTATAGATTAAAGATATAATAAATATATTTTTTGTTATAAATTTATATTGAAAAAATAAAAATTGATCTTTAATTTATTAACCATTCAATTAAATATATCCACTTAACACCACCACTAAATTAATGTTAATTTTAACATTTTTATATATATTTATGACTAAAAGATACTTTTAACTTGTATTCTAAATATATAAGTTATAAAAACTTTTAAAAATATAAAAATAACCTTAAGAAATTCAAGTAAAGAGAAAATTTGCCTTCAACAAAACGCGCCCTTAATTAGTATTCCCTCGTGGTGGAGAAAGAAC